ATGTCCATAGAAGCTTGTGGCTTTTCCGACGGCTACCATATTAGCATGGCATAATATTTGCTTTGGAACAAAGGTGAGCGCGGGGAATAAGTAATCAGCCCTTCCGAACCATGGGGCGCTCGTATTAATTGTTTCCCGGCAGCTTCCTCCTCATTCTTTATTGTCCTCAAGCACGGTTTGCTGCCAGTTGCATTCAGCCAGACTCCCGGGCTTGCCATTGCATTAACGGCTCATTCCGCCATACTGAACTACGGTCACCAGTCATTAGGAGAGGCTCGGGGAGACCACATATGTCACACGAGACTTTCTAGAGTCATTTGGTACCTGACGTTCCTCAAGATCCTCTACTTGCATCAAACGTACATTCACAAGCGAATAACTTTCCGGATTCGTTCGCTTCCCGTTTCCATATTGGGGCCATCTAAGTGCTCCAGTCCGCCTAGGAGTTCCAATTTCTCACCGGCCATCGTGGAGCTTTACTAGCCTTGAGATCGTTCTTCTTCATGCTGTGAACTCAGCAACCCTCAAGGTCCATCCTTTGGAGGTAGCTGGGAAGTCTCAGTTTCTGGTGGAAACAGTGGGCTGGGCGATTCTGAGCTTCATCTTCCCGGCTTTGCTGTACGACACTGATGATCCACACGGGCCTATGACGCGCATAAAAAAAATACGTGGCGATATATGGCTTTTGTTTGGATCCAATGGACCTTTGGTTGGTAGCAAGGGGCTCCCAGCACGTCTGTCTTGCTCCTCAAAGCAAACTCGCGTCCCAGGGCCTCAAATGCCGAAGGCTGGTAATGATACCAACAAGAACTGCCTGCGATCTGACATGACTGTTTAGAGATTTTTGTAACGTAGGACAAACACGTCCTCTCGCTCCTTCAATATTGACGTCAAGCTCTCCATGCTTCTCCAGGACGCTAAGTGTTGCGGTAGGGAGCCAGAAGGGCCTATAGACTCGGTGTCTCCAGATATCACCTACCATCGTCAGCATTACCAGAACTACCGTTACAGTAGATGCCGTTCAAAGCCACCGATGTGAAGTCGGTCGCGCTATTCGGTCCGCAATGCTCCAGCAGCAACCTCCTTACGTCATTAAGCTTTCAAAGACGCGCGTTGCCGATGGATTCGCCATGCTACTGTCTCCGAGAAAACATATTCTTCAGACCTTACTTCAAGTATACGTACTCTTCCAGGCACTATACCCTCCCAGGAACCGAATCATCCACCGAGAATTTTCATATCTTCTGGCTGTAGATCGACGAAGCGTAGCTTGAGAATAGTGTATGCAGTCAAGTTGAACTATCAAAATCCTGTTGATTGCCACAGAAGTACAACATGGTCTCAAAAACGATCAAGAGTCATGACTACTCGGAAGGCAGCCGTTGCCGATGGCCATTGCACGTGGTATATATTGATTGAGCTTCAGGCCTGGAGGCCTAATCTATATCTCCCTTAGCGTGAGTTTCAGGATCATACGATTACTTGGGCCGGAAAATGTCGTGAACTGGCCGTGTTCGGCCAAAACAAGCCCCTGGGCAATCCACGCTACGTACTAGGTCATATTGATCGCCAATAAATGCCGGTTGAGCTGCAATATCATGCAGCCTCGACAAGATATCACCAACACTTATCGAAAAGATGATCAATTTGTCCCATTCATGCCGATACAAATGTTGGAGTGTCACCCAACTCACGGTGGCGCTTATTTGGCATGTCTTTCATGCTCGGACCCGAACCAGCCATGAGATCTGTGGTTGCCAATCAACGACACTATGCAAGTCTTGCGAGTCAGAAATCTCTAACATGGCTGTATTGGAGTCTAGGGTGGTCAAGTGAGAGCATCTAAAGTAGGTAAACATGGACAGTCCAAGAGTATCTATGGGGACTGGAAAACCCGCTGTATCTCTACTGAGCTACGGTTGGTGTCTTGTACCAGTACTGTTTTTCCTTGACACTCATGCCTACCCGATTCCACCCTCGTTAAGCTCATGTTACTACGGAGACTCTTCCGTCAGAAACTTCGACTTCAATGACCGTCAACGTCAGATCATTACCTGATCCTTGCACAAGGTCAGCAACACCGAGACTGGGCTTTTAGTAAAACTTCCCGGCTATCGACCATGTCGTCGAGACAAAATTCAAGTCTCAGCAGCAAACTCATCAGCAGCTGTTTACTTCACGAGAATGGCTTGGCTCCAATGGTTTCTACATTTCACCTCTGCAAGTCCCGTGAGCACGGCCATTGAACGTCCAGCAGAACCCGAGACCTCGCTGCTATATGCAAGCAACAGAATGCGAGCGAATTCCCGGTGCAGGAGGTGCAGAGTGGGTTTCCTAGTGCTCCTGCAAAAAGCTTTGGCCATTGAAACTAGACGGGTAGACATCGTGAAGCAAGTCAAGTGCCCAGACTCGTGTCGAGAAGATGAGCATCGGATGCCGCCTCCTTCTGTTTTGGTCATGGATGTAGGGCAGACGCAATTATGTCTTTCGGGCCCGGCAGGTTGAATCGTGATCGCCCCGTTTTGCCTCTCTGCTTACTTTCCCTCTTACTCCCTCACTCTCACTACCACTCCGACTCTATGCCTGCTCAACTGATGTCGGTTGGTAGTTGCCACGGTCCAATGTGAGATCACTCATGTACAAGTAACGTGATCGCTCTTCTTCTCGAGCCCCACGGAATACCTATTCAGCCTACAGCACCTTTACTCCCCCAAACTTATCTCTCGTCATCTCTTCCACCCTATAGACCCTGCAGTTCTAGTCGTATGTTGACGTCCCTGCCATACGGCGCTTGGCGGCCAATGGACGAACGGGAACACTGAGTATGCGCGAACCTTAATCCGGTGGGGCGTTGCATGTCTTTGCATGTACAGGATAAGGTAGGGCTTTTCTCTGCCCGGACCATAGGGAGACAAGAGAGCCGTACTTTTTACCACACACACACACACACATACACACACACACACACTCCCTCCACATCTCTCTCTCTCCATCTCTCCAGATCTGCGAGGTCATCATGATTGAACCCAGCAGGAGGGACATGGCCCTGTGCTCCTGTGTGCCACCTCGTTTTCAAAAACAGGAAAGATGCAGCCATACGCGCCGCCCCCCAAAATGCACACACTCGGTCCCGTCTCCCCTAGGATGGTCCGTCTGGTTTGCTGTCGCATGGTTCAAGGGGAGGCAAATAAGGTATCTATCATTGGCGATCACCACAACTCCATGACCTATGTAGCCAGTCTATATTTATACAGTCCCAGTAACACAGCTTCAGTAGCTACTGCTTCAGTTATGAAACTCGTTTGGGCCCTACATGCATTGTAGAGGTATTTTCGGTGTATATTTCTCCTCTTTAAAATGAAATAAAATTAAGAAAAGAAGAAACGTTGCCGCCCCTCCCGTCAAAATATATAGACCCAATGAGGTTACTCCGAGTATATTGTTGTTGTTATTGTTGTCCGTTATAGTTAGTGTCGATCCTCTCTCTCATTACCACCCGCAGACCGAGATAGAGACCGAAATTCGTGTTGAAAGATTTTGATAGGCATTCTCGAAACTAGCCTTGCCCGTTCTGCATGAGCATCTATGACAGCCGATCGAAATCCACGAGAATGCCCAGGTCAAACCTGCAGGTTAGATGTAGACTTCCATCTGGCAGTAAAATGGATCGAGCGGGCCCCTTTCTATTGTTATTGTGCACCATGCGCGCGTAGTACTTTGCGAAAACAAGCATCATCACAATGACGCTATTTCCTTTCGGTACTTGTAATGACAAAAGGACGTGATTGCAAAAGTCAGCATACACTATCTCCATGCTTGACTCGGATTGTTGTAAAGGAAAAAAGAAAAGAAAAATTCATGAGGATTTGTATTTTGTAAACAGATAATTCCGAGAAGGCGAATCTTTCAATCCGAGGACAAAAACAGTGTTCACCCCACCCAGACTGTCCGTCTTGATGTGATTTCGTACCTATGTCTGCAAATTTCCATGTGATTAGTCTTGATAAGAGAAAAAGAAAACAAATTTTCTACCATGGCATATTTGTCTCCTGGTGAAATTTGGGCATGGGCGTTTATCCCGGGTATTATACATGATGTTCATGTGCTCATTCGATGGGTTTTCACCTTGCATAGTCATTTCCTAGCATCGACAGATGGTGAAGGGGGATATACCTGCCAGCGCCCACTGTTTCTAGGTGTACCAGCCTGGCCATGTGCCTCTCTCTTTTTTCTTTTCCTTTTCTTTTCTTTCGTAGTTCCAATATTAGCTCAGAGTTCTTGTTTTCTCCTGTTCAACCTAGACTGGAACTACTACATGTCATCGGCTCCTTTGCGTCATCGCAGCTCTGGCCGGGCGAAAAGATGGTTCGGCGGAAGAAGTGATTTCAGAGTCTTGTATGATAGGGTATCCCGATTGGCTTCGCCCAAACATGATGTCTTCTTATTTGGCTGCCCGAAACGTGAGGCTTTGGTAGCGGTAGATTTGAGATTGACCTGTGTGGTTTTGGGCCATGCCGGCCACTGATTTAGTGAGCGTGAAGAACTCTCGAGACTGGCGAGTCCTTGTTTCTGATAACATATTCCCATATCCATATTACTGGTTTTGTGAGGGGGGATTTCTCCCGTTTACGTAGGAATACCAATGCCATCTTGACGAAAGACGGGGGCTTGGTTTTCCTCAGCTGCGAATACATGAATTATATTAAAAGACGCCCATCTCTATCTAATTCCCAAAAACCGACGCAGAGCAATTTCCTGGTTTTGTTCTTCTGCCCTATCGCACACTTTGCTTTTGCCATCCGCCTCATACTTTCGTTGACGTCGTTCCGATGACTACTCCTTAACTCTGATATCTGATCTGGTGGAGTATTTCAATGTGCTCCACGGCTGGAAATCCGATTAAGACTGGCCGGTGTTATCTCGATGCTCTCTGTTTGTGCTTCAATTTCTCTACAGAAAGCAATCGTTACAAGAGCATCGTTTGATTCGTTTTGCGACAATTAGTTGCCGAGATAGTTTCGAATAGCACCCTGCAGCCGCGTAGCTCCTTCGCCCAACGCACTGGTAAGGTTTTCGAGGTCATCTCCAGCAGTGATACCAAACTTGCGCACAAAGTCCTTGGCTGCGGTCTCCAGGTCACCATAATCTTCGGCAGCCTCTTCGTCCTCTGGACGGCCGAAATAAGCATTCGAAGAGATAGCGCTGGCACCCTCAAAGCCTTGCAAACGTGTCTTGGCCTCTGACTGTGCGTTGGGATCAAAGCTACCTCTGCCAAAGAACTCGTCTGACGAAATACCCTTTTGAGTACCAAATTTGTTGCGAGCATACTTTTCGCCGTCGTCTATTACAATGTTTAGTTTCAAGTTTCCATATACTTCAAAGGGAGGGAAAGAACAATAATACCTTCGACAGCAGCCTTTACGGGGCCAACGGATCCAAACCCGCCAGCATTCTTCTTGGCTGTCTGCGGCGCCGCGGCAGGCTTGTTTCCACCAACCTGGCCAAAGCCTAGTCTACCAAAGCCCATGCCGAGACGCTCAACCTCGGCTGCCGACTTCTGCCTCGTGTGGCCAGATCCGTACGAGGGGCTGACGGGAGCAGGGGAGACGACGTTGCTGGCCTCGGTCTTGGCAGCTGCGGCCTTCTTGGTCTCTGCCTCCTCTGCCTCCGGATCGTATCCCAATTTCGCAATTCTGTCGGCCTCCTCCTTTGCCTTTTTCTCGGCCTCGTCAAAGTCGATGACATCGCCTGTCACCTTCTTGACACCCAATTTTGTGTTTTTCTTGGCTCCCAAAACATTAGTCTTGCGAGCACCAGCGGCACCAGTGGTAGTCTTTCGTAATGCGGCAGATGTGGTGACACGGCTGACAGCTGGCTTGGCGTCGGTTGCATCAGTCTTGGATAGTGGCGAAGCCGACCGCGAGATATCCTTGCCGTTTGATCCGGCAGTGAGGAATGGTGATGGGGTCCTTCCGACTACAGGAGGTGTCGCGGTCCTTGAAACGGGCGGTGTGGGTTTCTTGATGGCAGGCTTGTCCCAAGAGGAGAAGAAGTCGTCGCTTGGCTCGCCAGCTGGTGTGGATGAGCCATCGGCGTCGGCAGCATCAGTGATAACGACCTCATCGGGGAATTCGAGAGCATCTCTTGCTGCGCGCTTCTTGAGCTCGTCCTTGTACTTGGTAGCGGCTGGGGACTGATATTTCGTCTTGGGGTCTTTGCTGGCAAGGGCAGCGCTGCCGCCGTTGGCACGGAAGTACTTGGTGGCGGACTCATTTCCGCCCACCTTCATGATGCGGAGCTGATCCCATTGCCATTCTACAGTTGGTCAGTATACACGGAGGTTTGTGATGGCCCGGGATATGGTTGCAGTACGTACGGTCGAGGTTGGTTGATCGGACGAAGGAAATGTGAACACCTAGGTTTCGGTGGTTCGAGGAGCAGTCCAGACACAAGTAGATGCCAAAGGGCACTGATGTCCAGGTCGGATTCTTGGCGCCACAGTCAAAGCAGATCTGGTAGAGGTGCGCTATTAGCATTGCGAGTCTGGAAAGGGGCATGCGAGTCCCATAATCATACCTTATTTGCTTGCTTGGTCTTCAGCTTCTCGAACAGCTTTTGCGACTGCTGCTTTGTCGCGAGTCCGCTCATTGTGAAGGTGTTGGTCTGGGATGTGTTGCCCAGCTAATTGATGTTGTAGATTGCGCGCTCCTGAGTCCAATGATGCGCTCTCCTTGGTAGACTGGGAGAGATGCGTGAGGGCACCGGGGGAAGAATGCTGTTGGCGGTGGATTGTTGCTGAAGAGGAGGGTTGCTAACAAGTAGTAGCTGGTCGTAGTCTGGTGGTTGATTAAGGAGTTCGGCCAGATATTCACTCGGAAATGCCACCCACTTCAAAGAATTGATACCCACCAACCCAAGGCCAGGCCCAAAGGTTGAGCTAATCCTCAAAAGGCTTAGCAGTATTCACCCCACATTAAAAAGTGACGATCGCGCAGCTCAAGCACAAGGCACAAGGCGTAGGTATCCAAGCAGCAAGGTGGGTGGGTGGGTAGGTAGGTAGGTACGTTGGGGAGCACTGATATTTGCATTACAGTAGGGAAATAGCTTTTTAGACGGGGAACCTGGGCACAAGCTTCGGCATCGCAGAAAACTGCTGCTTTCCCACCGGCCTTACCAAATAAACCAACCAGCCAACCTCCATCTGCCCAACCCACAGCATTTGGTTCAGATGGACTCTCAATCTCCAACATGAAGCTCATACTCCGCCCGACGGCCATCAGTAGTAGTTGTAGTACTGCCACCGCCACCGCTGCCCTGCTATCCCGGTCACGACCGCTACATTTTCAGAGAAGCTATGCGACCCAGAATAATCCAGGCTCAACGTCCAAGCGAAGATCCGTAACACCATTCAACGACGACGGTCATGTGCCCTGGCAAGACCTATCAGGTGCCGAGAAGACAGCCAGAGCGACCCAACAGACCTTCAACTTTGGTCTGGTCGTCGTCGGTGCCGTACTGACAGTGAGAAGCGACCTCTACTATACATGGGCTTGAAAAAAAAAAAGGATCAAACATCAAGTATAAAACGGAGCGCTAATAAGCAATCGTGCTTCACCTTTTTACAGGGCGGCGTCGCATATTTCCTCTATACAGATGTCTTTTCTCCCGATAGCAAGACTGCCTACTTTAATCGCGCCGTCGACCGCATAAAGAAGGACCCCGACTGTCTCACGCTGCTGGGAGACGCAAAGAAGCTCACGGCTCACGGAGAGGAAACCTACAACAAGTGGCGCCGTGCGAGACCGATCGCGTAAGGATTCACTTCACGTATATGCCTTGGGAATGCGCAGGAACATGAGGCTGATATTTCTGCTCTTCTATTTAGATCTTCGCACACAACGGATAATCAGGGTACCGAGCACATCATGTTGCATTTCTACGTAGGTTGCCTTTCTTCTCCCCCGACAAGTGAGAGCAAAGAATCAAAAGTGTCTCAACTGAAATCTATTCATATTCCAGATGGAGGGACCTCGCAATAGAGCCACGGTTAATGTCCACCTCACGAAACGGGCTGGCGCCTCCGAGTTCGAGTACAAGTACTTTTACCTTGACATACCCGGACATCAGCGCATCTGGCTGGAGAATGCCGATTCCAAGTCTTCCTCGACTTCGAAAAAGTACAAGTTCCTTGGTGTGAATTGGAACTGAATTTACGCGACGAGAAACGTGTATGATTATGTATTATACAATGGATTGAACAAGACCGATATACCCGGACCAGAGAACGCAAAGTCAATCTTGGGTCGTCATCTTTCTCTTTACCTTGGCAAAAGTGGCGAGAGTGTAAACTGAATCATGAGGCCATGCGTTAAGCATTGCAAGTTTGATTGCGGTGCCCCGAGGCGCACACGACTGAAAAAAGGATATGCCCACAACACAATGTATCAGATGGTCCTGTGAGATGGACACAACAACAAGAATTGACTTATGCTAAGCAGACCAGGGTCGTTCTCTCACGGCCGTGCATTTTAGTTGACGGATGCAATAGTCAATGGACGTGCCCAGTAACGGCCCCCGCGCCAACCTTGATTGCGCTATGAATTAGTCTTTAGTATATTGAAATAAGGTGGCTCATACTTTGCTCAAATCAGCCAAGACAAATGGTCATTGGATCAATTGCCCAACTCAATTTCCAAAACCACTGATATGGATCTGAGCAATTAGACAGTCACCAGTCGAGCCACAGGACCAATTCATGCCCAAATCTCATATATTATAAGTTTACACGTGAACATGAGTTTTGCTCTGTCCTCCAAGACGGAACCTTTTCTTCCTCTACTATACATGATTAATTTGGGCACATCTGCTTTTTGATCCTGGCGTAGGAAGTCCCCTTGGGAAAACTGTCTCCCATCCACAAAAATTGCAGAATGCGTATAGCAATGACTCTTCGTGGTGATCATTAGTTGCAGAAGGCGAATGTCCATTGCAGATGCCTTTCTTTATCCGTACCGAAAAAAAAAATTGCAACCCACAAACGCCTATCTTCAGGTACACGAGCAGGATGACAAGACAACTTTAACTCTGCAAGCTTATTCCTGCATTGGTGAGAGTTGAACAAGACATGACTTGGTCGAAACGATTTAGAAGAGTGGCTTAGCCGACTTCCTCCCCATCGAACTTAGCGATCCACTTGTTCATTCCGGAGTACTTTTCTTCAAATGTCTTTTCAAACTTCTCGCATGTCGCCCACATGGGTGTGTTACGGTCCCAGTAAGTATAACAGTTCTTGAAAATCTGGCGGACGTCGGCGGCAAACTCTTCAGCGCTGTTGTATCCGGCGCTGTCCATCCTCTTCTTGATTGTGCCAAGGTCCATTGGTTTTTGGACCTTGTCCAAGTAGTCTGGAACGCCGTCTTCAACTGGATTGACAGGCTCGCGGAAGGGACCGACAAGGCGCGTCCAAAAACCTGTGATATATTAATATTATTGATTGATCAAGTTGCCAGCCAGCCCAACTTACCCGGCCCACTAAGCATTCGGGTCAGAAGATCAGCACAGAAAACGAGCTTATCCTCCTTTGTAGGCTCAACGTTGCCGTTGGTACTTCCGTGGCTCTTGCGGCTTTTCACAACCTTCAAATTGGGTAATGAAGATCTGGCGCGAGGCTTAACGTCCTTGGGCTTTGGTTCCACGGGTGAGCCCGCCTCCGAGTGGCTGCGCTTCGATGCCTTGGCCCTGCGTTCATCTTCGTGATCGTCTTCTAAATAGTGGACATTCTTGCGCTGGGCGCCGCCGTTGACGGGCGACTGATTGCTGACTCGAATGACCGGAGCTGAATTCAAGTGACTCATGGCCACAACCAGCTCGCTCAGAAGCTCTTGCGGCAGGGACTTGCTGAACTCGCTTCGAGACTCGGACGAGCGAATATATTCAGCTGCCCAATTAAGTAGCAGCTTACGAATGTCAGACCCCTCAGGTGTCTCATTCCAGACCTCGACAAGAAGGGGGGTGGCCGGGATGGTGTGGGTGTTACGACGACACTCATTCATGGCTTCCAGCACAGCATCACAGAGACCCTCAACATCAAGCTGGTTGCCAAGCTTCCATGCGTCAATCAGGACATCGTAGCCAGGCATGGTTGCCGTGTCCGAAAGTCTGCCAGTGTACATGAAGTTCTGAGCGTGGCCAAAGGTGTCCTCGGACGCGGTGGGTAGCTTCACAATGCATTCGACCTTGTCGTCGGGATTTTCGATAAAGTACTTGCGGAAATACGATGACTTGGCACAGAGAAAGTCTTTCTGTATACCAAAGGGCTTCTCATTGGGGCCGACGAGAATAATGACAAATATGGGGTGGGCATCACTGGTGGAAGATATGAGAATTAGCTATCGGTAGTCGCTACTGAGGGCAATCACACCACAGTGATGACAATGAACTTACAGCCAGGAGAAGCCTGCAGCTTGCTCCATGTCTTGAACTGACATTGTGTATGTCCCTATTTCAAGAATGTTAGTTTTGCGAAACGGGTCTGGTGAGCTCACAAATATGTGCAGGTTAGCTAGAGTTGGAGCGTCAATGGATGACAGGAATGATAGAACTCGTACTCGTGCTGTAGTTTGATCAGAGGGCAAAAGTGTGGGGATGTGGCACGATGGTGAGGACCAAATAAAGTTAAGCTGGCATACTGAACTCGCAGGACGCGCCAGAATGAAGGGTAGTGAGAGCAACACAATGATCAAGGGCTATTCAGAGCCCCTTCTTTCATCTTCATGAGATGAATTGACTCTGGATCGTCTGGCAGCGATGTGAAAGTGATGGTAGATGAGCGTGGCTGTCCTTACCTGTGAGATGGGGACCTACACTGCTAGAGTTGGCCTAGCTACTACACCTAGCTTGGATGGTGAATCGTTGCTACCAAGGTAGCAAGCACAGCTTCAGCCTGGAGCAATGTGGTTTTTATCAAAAGAATGAGTGTATGCGGAAAAGAAGCATCAGAAAATCAGTGAATTCGATTGCGCTGCTTGGTGTTGCATCTACGCAGATGATTGCGCCTCAATCTACGATGAGTACCCGCCGCGCGATGGGTCGTGATATTGATGTTGGCTCTTGCAACAACAAGAGAGCCTGTGGGCAGCAAAAGCAGTGCTGAAGTTGGTTGTGAGATTTGGTGGCATTTGGCATTGGTGGAGGCCAGGTACGGGAATACAAGGGAGGTCGGTCCCACTATGGGTGGGTGATTTGACGCCCGGGAAAGCGCACGGGCCCTAACACGTCCCCACAATCGCCCGGCTGGGCAGTTGGAAAATAATCAATGGTCATGAATAACAAAAACATGGTCGTCGTCGTCCCTTTGGACCAACTGAATTTGTGCATATGAATTCATGTGGCTCAAAGATAAGTATTTATTGCGTTGATATCATAATGATTCTCATGCTATGTGTAGACTATCACCATACTAGAAGTAGCTTTACTAGATACTCTGTCTGCAAAGTGAGTGGCCTTTGTAAACAGCCCTTCAGCCTACCTCGGACAAATGGTTCCTCATGCATTGTCCTTGCTCCTAGTTGCAAAATATGAGAAATCTAATTGTAATTTTATACCGATCTCATTCATTTGATATACACTGGGTGTGGATCTTTCTTCGACACTCTTATAGTAGTTAGGGTGGCTCAGGGATCATCAAACACATTGAGCTCCAGTTTATAAATCATAAAGTTGCTGAGACGTCAAAGTGAATACGAGATCATGGCACTATAAATGGATCATGCCCAGAGAGGAAAAATTATTCATGTTCACATCAATGAACTTCCAAGGCATTTTGTGGTGAAGCCAGCGACTACAAACTGAGCATCACTGTAAAAGTAAATCCTCATGCATTTTTTGTTCTGCATCGCGATGCATATCTGTTGATCATGGTGGATACATCACACGATTGGGATCAAGAAGCTTATGGAAACTATAAGAGTATCATCTTGTCGGCTTTCTCGTCGAAGTAACATTACACACCAGGTAAGTGAAAAGGCTTGAGTGAAGTACCTTCAGCGAGATTACTGATACAACTCTATTTCACCATGCTTGGTCTTCCAGCAAGTCATGAAAACCTTGGTCATTTGTTTTGGATATAATTTAGAGCATTGAAGTATGAATCATGTCTTCGATTCAATGAGAGCCAGGAGTTTAGTTCTGAAGGTTTAATAAATAGGGTGACTGGTTCGTCCCATAATGAGCTGGACCATTTGGTACCACTTCTTAACTTATACTTCATTATGAGTAATTCAATCTCTTCGCCAATTCTTGATTATCCGATAATTCAGCTACCCTGAGACTATACCCAGTCAGAAGTCCCAGGATGCGTCATTATCTTATAGATGTATGGCTGAGGAAGGTGGAACTTTCGAAATCATATCTCATTCTAGTTCTTGAGGCACTTGGCTTCTTTACATCTGCAACGACATTTCATTCTTGTTACAGGACTATAAGTCATTGACGGCTCCTTCAATCTGTTTGGTTTATCATCAGTGTGGTTTTTTAATACTCATTAGCACATATCTACATACTTTGATAGGACCATGATTGACAGAAACAGAGGTGTGTATCCTGAAAGTAAGAGCCTCGAAACTTATGTATAATGTTTATGAAACGCATGTCAAAAATGATTAGTATCCATATGCATCTGAATATCAAGTATACTGCAAGATGTTGCTCTCATTCGGACACTTTGTCAGGCGTGGACAAGTATCATATGTATAGAATGAAACAATTCTTACGGATGTGACAAGCTCTTCAAAGTCAGCGTTTGTTCAACCATCCCACCCCATGAGTTCTACTGTGTTTTAGGCTAACGGGATATTGAGATATCTTTAACAGAAGCTGTTATATTAATCAATATGTGCACTCCAGTATCATATCTCCAGGGCCGGCCATTGTCCCTGGAACGATTTGACCTCATGAACTATTGCAGGTCGAAGCACGGTTTCCTCGGGCCTGTCACAACCAACATAGTGAGGGGGAGCTTCTTAATGGCCCTGTAATGGTTTAGCTATCACGATTCATGATGCGTGGCCAAAGATACGGTATTCTGTTGTTTCCAACGGTGGAATGGCTCTTACGAATAGCTCTGACAAGAGCAGAGATTAGCTTGCATTCGAGCTGCAACGTGTATTACTACGCTATAGCTTGGGAGAGATTGCCGCTTTTACAGTCTTTGGGCGATTACAGGCTCCATACATTGGTGGCTATAGACTCTTTTAAGCGTCACACCTGCGGATGCAGAACAGTAATGGTTGCTGATACCCTCTCACCAACAGGACAAGTTGGCCCCGTCAAGGGTCGCATTCGCCAGTAAAATTAGGCCGGCCGTACATTGCACACACGCCGTTTAGGTGGGAAAAAAACCCATAGCCAAGCGTAAAACGTGAGACTAAGTGATGTCCACGCACGCCCGTTATCTTTTGGTGACAAGGTAGATATACGTTTTGACCACAGCGAGCAAATCCCCGGGAGCCATTACACAAGATAACAAGTGAGGGGATATGTCCTTCAATTTTTTTTTCCCCGGCCAACCCGATCCGGCCTGCTCAGACTACATTCTCCGGAGGGTGAGGTTGAAGCCGACGTCGATGGTGGAATCACGTAGGCGGAAAACCTCCCGGCACTTCGCCCGCCATGGGAAGTAGAAGTATCGTTCACACAAGGTCAGGAGGAACGGCGACCGTGCCCCGTCGGTTCGACATCAGATCATCGCCCTTTTTCCCCGACGGGATTTTAATTCTGCTGTTACGGCGGACCTGCAATCCGTAGAGATATTCGCAAGCAACTTGTTCAGATAGAACCATGAAACTCTGTTTTATGCCAGCAAAGAAACCCCTCCCACGGGCCGAGTTTCCAACCTGCGATAAATGTACACATGAGAGAAAGTAGAAAAGAATAAGAGCGTAGTATCTAGTCAAGGTACAGAATAAGGTTATGCATCAATATGCGCACCTCGTGGCCGGTCTGGCCTAGACAGAGCCACCGGAGCAGGGATCGTCTTTTTTTTTCTCCTCCCTTTCCCCTTTCCTTTTACCCCAAACGTTATTCTGCATTAATCTTTTTACGAAGTGTGCGGAGTAGAGCAATTATGGGGTGGTGTGAGTGAATCGGAACAAAAAAAAAAACATGTCAAGTTTTTCGTAGTTTATGCAACAGGGACAACGGTGAGGTCGGAGATCGGGTCGTTGAGGGGGAGGTGTGGTTGCAACCAGGGATGTTAAAGCTTGTCGCTCTCTTGACCGAGTCGGCCGCGGATGTCGAGGCCCTGTCATCCATCCCTACTGACACCCTGCTTGCTTTGTGCCTGGTGTGGTTCACGTTGTTATGTGTTGCAACCTTGGGCATATAGGGATTCTCCAGGGCACATCGAACGAGTGCCGCTCGCTTGTTGAACAAAATTCCGGGGTAGGGAGACATCGCCTCGGCGGCACGCGGCTGAAGCAGGAAGTTGGACCCTCAAGGGATGCAGCAAGAATGTAACGGGGGCTGCACCTACAGCATTACTCCGGTCATTTTCTAGATCGATCTATTTTCTCTCTATCTCTTCAATTCTACCCGAGGCTATCAAGTTAGCTGTGTTGTTTGACCTCATTGACGAAATTGCCTTTTTTGCAAGGTATCTATCACGGAAACGGAATCCGAGGTTTCTTGGACGAGCACTACCAACGGAAACTTGACAGCCACCAGGGAACATGTGAATTATAGAAATTGTATTTCTAATATCGGAATGAGACGGCATGTGGTCGGGAGCCACTCTGAGAAGCTCGGCTTGATAACACAAAGTAGCCTAATAACCTAGGTACATTGTAGTTGGACTGCACCGCGGCCCCAGGGCGGCACATGTGGATCATAACATGAGGCTCTTGACGTAGGGATAGTAGTAGTGTACTTGCTTGGATGTTTGATAAAAGTACTACCGCGGCGGTTCATTGCGCTAAGCCAAAGTGTATTGTGTTTAATCGGGTGTATATTGCACCAATGAACTCTATGGCTGCAAACACATGCTCCGGTGCCGATACACCAGCTCGTTCGGTATCGCGGACAAGCGTCGCCGTAAGCCCTAGGTCAGCTTAGTTAGTCAAGAGTCTCGCTGGCGAGTTTATAAGCACCAAAAAAGATTGCTGCTATATCCATTTTGGGCAGACCAGATAGTCGTCTCATACTCTGCAGTGTAGAGTAAGGATTGATCGATTGTCCTAAATGTGTGTGTAGGACTGTGTGTGACTGCCCCCTAGGCGTAGCCCGAATATTGATCAATCGGGTAGCATTTGATGATTTGTCCGAATGGACATTGTGGCAGTCTAGACTTCATGGTGTGAGTGCTTCCTTTGTGTGGGGTTGACAATACTCGCATCCAATTTGGTCGGAACTTACCATGTATAATCTATAATTGCGAAATCATTCACTTGGGCTGCCTTCGTGACACCATCTTTTGAGAAATCATATGCTTCCA